AACTGCTAGGTTGGCAGGAGCTGGAACTAGAGACGGGAGCTCACTCCCTCATGCGGCACACTCGGGTCTCGAACTGCTGAACTACCGGCCTTCCACAGCCTGCAGTTCAGCATCTTAACCACTTGAGCCACCACAGCTCAAGGGGTGGAAGAGACGCCTCTAAAGGGCCGAAAAGAGGAAGCGCTTCAGACGTGCAGCAGCAGCCGGGAAAAGCCTCGTGGCCGGAGCCGGGCTAGGTTTACTCGCAAGTAAGTCATGGGGGGGGGCGAATAAGGTCTTCGATCTCGGAAGGAGGGAGGGAGGCGGCTGTTTCGGCATCGGGTTTCCTCCACTCTGTAAAGGGGGTGGGGGTGTCGGTGGAAGAGGCGTCTCTAAAGGGCCGAAAAGAGGAAGCGCTTCAGAGGCGCAGCAGCAGCAGCAGGGAAAAGCCTCGTGGACGGAGCCGGGCTAGGTTTACTCGCAAGTGAGTCAGTGGGGTGTGAATAAGGTCTTAGATCTTGGAAGGAGGGAGGAAGGCGGCTGCCAGCATCGGGTTTCCTCCACTCTGTAAATGGGGGGGTTTGGTGGAAGAGACGCCTCTAAAGGGCCGAAAAGAGGATGCGCTTCAGAGGCGCAGCAGCAGCAGCAGGGAAAAGCCTCGTGGACGCAAGTAAGTCATGGAGGGGCCCCCAATAAGGCCTTTCATCTCGGAAGGAGGGAGGAAGGCGGCTGCCAGCATCGGGTTTTCTCCACTCTGTAAATGGGGGGGGGGTTTTGGGTGGGGCGGGGGAAAGAACCAGGGTCTTTGAAGCACCAGGAAGTTCCGCGTCTGAAACTGACCTTCAATTGCCGGTCGTTTTAATTCTGCAACAAAGATCCTGCTGCCGCCGTCAAGTCGGAGGGTTGCCCAATCCGCGATGGCGAATTCCTGCCCAATTGGGTGTGTGTATCCGGGGGGCGGGGGGAACACAGAGCCCCCCCTCCCAAGCAGGCATTTTCTCTGTACTCCGACGATCAGTTATGATCCTGGGAGATCTCCGGGCCCCACCTGGAGGCTGGCAACCGCATAAAGGCATCGGTTTCGCCCCCCTCTGTCCCTGGGGGTGGGGTGGGGAGGACCATCAGTGTCTTTAAGTGCAAGGGAAAGTGTATGAGAGACTGGAGGTCTGTGGCTGGAGGTCTTAGTTCTGTGGGGGGGAGGCGAAGAGCCTGAATTTGGTCTGCAAGTGAAAGAGGATGTTGTATTTGTGTGCATGTGGAGGGGGGGGGGCTCCTACCTGAATGGGAATCAACTACAGCCCCATCCTGATGTAGATGGAAGCACCACCTATGCCCAGGAGTCACAGCACAGGGCAACTCCCCTGGGACAGGCAGAGAGCCATGCGCCCCCCCCATCAGCCTGCCCACACCCATAAGGCCAGGAGGCACCTGGAAACCACATCACTGTGAGGATCGTGGCCTCAGCAACAGGACCCCTGTAGCAAGAACAGCAGAAGAGCCCTGCTGGGTCAGACCAACGAGAGTCCATCTAGTCCAGCCTCCTGTCTCCCACAGTGGCCAAACCAGTCCTCTGGAGGGCCAACAATAGGGCAGAGAGGCCTTCCCCTGGCACTAGGCACTCTGAATGTGGAGGTTCCCCTCAGTCACCAGGGCTGGTAGCTAGACTTGCCCTCCGTGAGTTTATCTAGTCCCCTTTGAAAGCTGCTTATTCCTGTGGCCATGACTGCATCCTCTGGCAGCGAACTCCACGTTTTAAACATTCTCCGTGTATAGAAGCATTTAATTTTGCCCATCCTGAATCTGCTGCTTCACTGGATGCCCTCAAGTTCAAGTATATGATGGGAGAGGGAGAAAAATTTCTTTGTCCAGTCTCTGTTTGTTTGTTTGTTTATTAATTTATTATTTATTGTTGGGTATTCTTGGGCGTTCCGTGCGCCTTGGTGTTTAGTCATGCCGGCCACATGACCACGGAAACGTCTTCGGACAGCGCTGGCTCTTCGGCTTTGAAACGGAGATGAGCACCGCAACCCTAGAGTCGGATTCGACTGGCTTTCGAGCAAGGGAGACCTTTACCTTTACCTATTCTTAATTTTAAAGTAAATCCGCAGAGTATTAAAGAGGCAGAGTCCATGATGTGTTTAAAAGAATAAAAGTTTACTACAACCTAGCATGGGGAAAAGGCACGCAGGATGTAAAATAACAAAGAGCTAATATTCCTACATCCTTACAGCTAGACTGAAAATGGCAGAAGAGAGGCTTCTTCTTCTTGCTCAGAACAAAGAACCATAAAATGCCAATACTTGGCACTTTGGTCTCCAATCAGAACAACAAACTAGATCTGAAGTTACCGGGCTTTCTAACTCTCTAAACAGATTGGTTACAAACAAACATGTGACTTAACAAACATCATTAACCCAGTAAATACTGAAGAAGTGTTTTAATTTGTAACACCCAACATTTATTTATTATTTATTATTCACATTTATATCCCGCCCCGCCCCCCCAACGGGCTCAGGGCGGCTAACCATAAGGGCACAAAGCCATAATAAAACAGTTAAAAGCAGAATAAAGCCATACAAAATTACAATAAAGTGCTGGCGCTCTGAAAGATCATAGTTCCAAGATGGGTTCTGGAAGATGGACCCATAACTATTAAACTTTTATCCCGGCCGTAGCCGGCTCAGGGCGGCTTACAATCAGATAGAATTCCAAACAGATAAGTAGCATCAATAGCAATAACATTAAAATGCCATTAAACCCACAGCATTAAAGTGCTAGTCTTATCCATTAGCGCTGATTGGACTTCAGATGTCAAGCAGCTCCAGATGTCATAAAGGGCAGCTTCAGATGTCGTAAAAAAAGAGGGGGAATTGGCACGGGCAGAGATTAGGGTCCCAAAGATCGGGGCTCTTCGCCATGCAGTATACGTTGCCGTTACCAGTGGCACTGGCGATCGAGATGGTATCAATCACGGTTGTGGTGGCAGCTCCAAAGGTCTGGCGGAAGAGCTCCGTCTTACAGGCCCTGCGGAACTGTGAAAGGTCCCGCAGGGCCCTGGTCTCTTCTGGGAGCTCATTCCACCAGAGTGGAGCCGCCACCGAAAAAGCCCTGGCCTTGGTCCTCGCCAGCCTGGCCGCCTTAATACTCCGGAGGACCGGCCGATTCTGGGTCCCTGATCGCAGAGCTCTCTGGGGTACATATGGGGAAAGGCGGTCCCTCAGGTATGTCGGTCCCTGGCCATAAAGGGCTTTAAAGGTAAGAACCAGCACCTTGAAGTGGATCTGGTATGCTATAGGCAGCCAGTGCAGTGCCTTTAACACAGGCTGAATGTGCTCCTGGATAGGGAGACCCCCTCCATAGCCTGGCCGCGGCATTTTGCACCAGCTGCAGCTTCAGAATCCACGACAAGGGCAGCCCCATGTAGAGGGTGTTACAGTAGTCCAATCTCCAGGTGACCATTGCATGGATCACTGTTGCCAGGTCGCCACGTTCGAGGAAGGGACACCCCTGTGCAGAAGCCGTGCCGGTTTTCCCTCAGCGGGCTTTGTCCTCCGGTGTGCCTAACAATTCTGTCTTTGATTACAGATTCTACTAATAAGCCTGGGACAGATGTGAGGCTGACTGGCCTGTAATTTCCTGTTTCTCCTCTGGATGCCATTTAAAAAATTGATGTAACAATTGCTACTCGCCAGTGTTGTGGTACGGTGGCTGAATTTCGTGATAAGTTACATCTTCCGGTTAGGAGATCGACTATCTCACATCCTTAAGAACTCTTGGGTGTGTGCCATCAGGACCTGGAGCCTAAGGTGGGTCTCCTTAGGAGATGTCTACAATAGTTCATACCAGTTTACAATAGTTAATTTAGCACAAGGACATGAACTCTGATCCGCAAACCACAACAAGGCCCCTCCCTCCGATTCTGCAGGGCGATCCTGGGTGTCGGTGATGTAGCTCCATCTTCTTTAGGTTCCTTTCTGCCTTTTTGATATATTCCCCTCTCCCTCTTCATACCAAGTAAGTGGAGGCATCTTTTTGCAATCGGAGGCGGCCCAATAGAAGGAGGAGATGGAAGAAGAGCAGGACCCAGAAGGACCAGGAACTGGCAAGACAGCAAGGAAAGACCCCCCTCCCATCCAGGCGGGGAGTGGTGCTGAACTCTGGGAGAGAGCGGTGCCAGAGGTCCTGCCTCAGGAGACGGGGATCCCAGAGGAGCATCGCCAGCGTTTCCGGCAGTTCTGCTACCAGGAGGCTGCTGGGCCCCGAGAAGTTTGCAGCCAGCTCCATGGATTTTGCAAGCGCTGGCTGGAGCCGGAGAGGCACTCCAAGAAGCAGATCCTGGACCTGGTGATCCTGGAGCGGTTCCTGGCTGTCCTGCCCGATGAAATGCAGGGCTGGGTCAGAGGATGCGGGCCGGAGACCAGTTCCCAGGCGGTGTCCCTGGCCGAGGGCTTCCTCCTGAGTTGGGCAGAGGACAAGCGGCAGGCAGGGCAGGTGAGGGAGTTTCATGCTGTCCATTCAAGCTGTGACCTTCGACCTTAGCCTCAGGCTTCCCTGCCCGATATGTGTCCCTCCAGACACTTCACCGCTGTGGTTGAAGCAGCTGTATTGATGGATGCAGGGATGAGGATGGGCAGGGGCAAGATCCGTCTCCTTGGTCTTTCGCATTCCTCCTCTTACCTGTATCCCTTCCTGCAGTTTCAGATGTGGGGACCGTCTGTGAAGAAGGGAGTGAAGTTCTCTGAAGAGAAAGGATCTCCTTTGGAGGAGGAGCAGAAGGCGCAGGCCCAGGAGCGTTCCCAAGATGCCCTCTCGTGTGGTAAGGGTGCCTTGTGAGCACATCAGGGCACATGGTGAAGTGGTTGCATAGAAGGTCCAGGACAGGAGAAAAAAGAGATATTTCTGCACACCACACAGAGTGGACTGCTGAGACTCAGTTGCCATCGGATGTAATGGTGGCCACTCACTTGAAGAGGGAATTATCCAGAGTCATGGAGGGCAATTCCCTTCTCATGGGAACACAGGACAATATCCCCCTCCGATCCAAGACTCTGTGTCACACAGTGGCCCAAACCCAGGTGCCATCAAGAGGTCCACCAATGGGGCCAGAACTCCTAAACCCCTCCTGCTGTTGCCCCACAAACACTGTTGCCCCATATAGAGTTCCATCTATACCTTGGGGCTAATAGCCACTCGTGGACCTCTGCTCCAGATGTTTATCCAATCCCCTTGAAGCTGTCTAGGCTTGTAGTCGCCACTACTTCCTGCAGGAGTGAATTCCACGTCATAAATATGCTCGTCTCACGCCCTGACCTGGATAGCCCAGGCAAGTCAGATCTGGGCAGCTAAGCAGGGTCAACTCTGGCAAGTACTTGGATGGGAGACCTCCTTGCAATACCGGAGGCAGGAGGTGGGGGCAGGCTTTATTCAGCCACCTCTCTGAGTATCCTCCAGGCCCCCAGTAGGGGTCACTCACCAGAGGTCGCCATGACTTCCAAATGCAGAAACACACGTGCACATGCATGAATAACGCACATACTAAAAATACAAAAAAAACCCCAGGCCACCCTATTTTACGTCTCTCCGTTAGAGGGATTCACCCCTGGGAACTTTGGGGGTGGGGATTGTGGGAAGAAAATTTTAATAGTATTTAGTTTGGATTTATAATGGACCTTGGGCAATAGAATGTTGTTCTTTATAGCATTGAGCCACACTGAACAAATGCCCATAAGGCTTTTCACCTATCCAGGCAAGCAGACATCCCGCTTGCCGTGTGTATTCAGGATGGGCCTGCATTCCATTCCCAGGACCAGACCGGTGCCAGAATACTGAAACACCAACTGATGTCACATTGATGTACTTTATGACTGTGACAGTTCTTGGGTAACTCTTTGATCTATGTGTATAAAACAGGGTGCCTTGCAAGGCATCTCCACTCATTCTTGAAGCCAGGGAGAGGTGCTGTCTCTCTGAGTCTAAGAGTGGCCCAGAGGCCTTCTGTTCTCTATTGTATGTGTGTGTGGAATACTTTGTTTCTGTTTTATCTTGGTGCGTACTCGTCTGTCCTTGGAGAATAAGTATTTGCATTGTGGGCTCTCGGTTTCAGCGTCTGGCTGACCCAACCCACCCAACTGCTTAACCTTGGTACTAACTCTAAATAAAGTAGCTAACAGTGTTTAAAGAACGCTTGTATGTGTGCGTTAAAAGCCTTTCGTCCGCTCCAGCAACGGGCCCCCATACACCTTTCCGTGGCCTATGGTAAGGGGCCATCCCCAAGACATAGAACTTAGGCATAGTGGGCGACACGCATTACACACATGTAGCCACGTCCTCATGACAGGGCCAGGGGTGGATGTGATGTCACAGTGATGTCTCATCCTGCTGAGAATCTAGACGTGACGTCAGAGCATCAGCAGACGCTCTGGAAACCGCTTGATAGTACCCTCGAGTTCTCAGGTCTGCCAATGTCACCTCTGGGCTTTTGGACCAGTGTGATTGTGATGTATCGTTTGACGCGCCTGGGCCATTGGTCTGATCGAGCAGGGATGCTGCCACCATTTTGAGCTCTGGAGTTCACAGGATAAATTTCACATGTCAGAGAAGTCTGAAATGTGTTGGCAATGTTTGTAAACACCCCCCCCCCCCGAGGCTCACGGGAACCTGGTGCTTCCCTTCCAGCTCTCGCTCAAGTCGACTCAAAATTGTTACACATTCTGTTGAGCGTAGACAGGGCAAGGTCTCACAGCCCTGGAAAGAGGGGTGCATGAAGCAGGATACGCACAATCAAAGAAAATGGGAAGTCCGGGCTCAGACCCTTTCTTCCAATGTTCTCTCCCTTACAGGCAGTGAAGAGATAGTGTTGAGTCATCGTCTTAGTGGAGGAGTGGAAACGGCTACCGCCGCTGCAGTCCAGGTAGGGGAGATGAGCAGGGGACGGCCTGTGTTCCCACTCCTTTCTCAGGGGGGATTTTTTCTCCTGCAGTGGCTTCTCAGGTGTCTGAGCAAGAGAGCCTCTGAACGCCACGCCCTTGACCCCCGCCAACCTCTTCGTCCTCCAACCCACCAGAATGCCCATTTGCTGGGTGCAGTCTTGCCTGGCATGATCTCTGATGAGGAAGTCTGCCTTTTCTTTCAGTGTCCGTTTTCCTTTGAGGAGGTGGCCGTGTATTTCACCGTGGCCGAGTGGGACCTGCTGGATCCGGACCAAAGAGCTCTCTACCGGGAAGTCATGCTGGAGAACTATAGGAGTGTGGCCTCTCTGGGTAAGGATCTTCCATAGGTGCCAAAGGTGTGATTTGCTGCCATTGTGATGTTGTGTGTATCAAACTATTGAAGAGCAGCATGTCATTGTGGGGCCTGGCCCTGTACTTAACACCCTCTGGACGACTCCAGGGGCTGAGGTGGTGGTGAAAGCAGCCAACAGATGTGGCTGGTCCAGGGGCCACTGCAGCCACTGCTGTGGCCAGCACGAGAGGAAGGGTGGGTGTCACGGCCTGAGGTAGAGCCAGACAAAGGCCTTCGGTCACTCTTCCTCCACTTCTCTCTCTCTCTCTCTCTCCCAAAGAAGGCACGGATGTGCGAGAGACTGCAGTGGAGACGGACGAAGGGCTGGAGAGTTTCTCAAGAGGATCTCAACAGAATAGTTCCTCCCCGAGTGAACTGGCCGCGAGTGAGTCTGCTTCGTCTTTATGTCAAGGGAAAGGGCAAAGAATAGCCATGGTGGATTTCTGCTTCACTTCTTAGCAGCTCTTAGTTGGGTAGAACGATAAAGCCCTCTGGGTAAGGAGGGAGGACTTTTGGGCCTGAGATCTTGGGAATTCTTCCTGGGGCTGAGCTCAGTTGTGGCTATTTTAGTTCCTTTAGGGTCTGCACTGTCCTTATATACTGGCTATTCCAGGGAAAGTTTAGGTATTTATGTAAGAAAAGCTTTGCTGGACGAGTCAGACGCCCATCAGCGTTTTCCTACTGTGGTCAGTTGAATATCTCCAGGCCTCCCCTCCCTCTCTCCCCCAACAGCTGGTATTCCTATGGGACTCCCCTTAGAACTGTGGTGGTTTGCTTGGTGAGGTCCTGACTTCTCCCCTGCCCCAGCAGACACGTATTATTGGAGTCTGAAGACCAGCTCCTCTTCTCTGTCATCACGCCTGGAATGAAAATCTGTACAATGCCAGGACTAGCAATTACGATCACTTTTTGTATTTCATCATCAAAAGACCTGTATGGCAAGGCAAATGGGAAGGGCAGAGAAACAGATGTTTGCCAGCTTTTCCCTTAAAGTATGCTTGGGGGGTTTTGTGGAGGGGAGGGATGGTCACAATATAGAAAAAGCTCTACTGGAAAGGCTGGCCAGCAGTGTTCCCTCTAAGCTGAGTTAGTGTGAGCTAGCTCACAGTTTTTTAGCCTCCTGCTCACGCATTTTTGTCTTCGCTCAGGACGGAGGGCTCCAGAGCAAACTAACATATGCAGTAGCCAAATCGCTCACTCAAAACTTTAATGCCAGTGGCTCACGAAGTAGAATCTTTGCTCATAAGACTCCACAGCTTAGAGGGAACATTGCTGGCCAGTGAAAAGTCGTGACCAGCAGCTCAGGAGATAAAATGCACACTCGTTGATCAGGAGTACCTGACTGGTGGCTTGGCTCCTTGTGTGAGTGGTGATTGGACCTCCCTCTTTATCCCAGCAGGAGACGTTGAGGAGTCAGTTGCGGAATGTCAGCGGTTCCCATTGGAAAAAGCCCAGAATGAACAGCCCAAAGGAAACTTTCAGAATACAGATGGACCAGAGAGGCAGGAAGGAAGACGTACAGTGAAGAGGCGGGTTCGGTCCATTCCTCGCCAAGAAGGAGGCTGCCCTGAAATCCCAGTCAGCAGCCGTCTCCAAAGGGCTCATTCAGGAGTGAAGCCATTTATCTGCTCCGAGAGTGGAATGATGTTCTCTAGTGGTAGAAAGGGTAATGTATGTTTTCCAAACCACAGTATAATGAAAGCATGTAAATGCAGTCACTGTGGAAAGTGCTTCAGATACAGACCACAGCTTCTTGTGCACCAAAAAATACACGCAGCACAGAAGCTTTTTGAATGCTCAGACTGTGGAAAGAGATTCAGTATGAATTCCAGTCTACAAAAGCACAAAAGAACCCACTCAGGGGAGAAACCTTTTGAATGCTCAGAGTGTGGAAAGAGATTCCGTCAGTGTGGCAGTCTTCAAAAGCATCAAACGACCCACACAGGGAAGAAACCTTTTGAATGCTCAGACTGTGGAAAGAGATTCAGCCAGAGTAGCCATCTTCCACAGCACCAAAGAACCCACACAGGAGAGAAACCTTTTGAATGCTCAGAGTGTGGAAAGAGATTTAGTCGAAGTGACAGTCTTCAAGAGCACCAAAGAACCCACACAGGGGAGAAACCTTTTGAATGCTCAGAGTGTGGAAAGAGATTCATTAGGAGTAGCCATCTTCAAGTGCACCAAAGAATCCACACAGGGGAGAAACCTTTTGAATGCGCAGAGTGTGGAAAGAGATTTAATCTGAGTTCCACTCTTCAGAAGCATCGAAGAACCCACACAGGGGAGAAACCTTTTGAATGCACAGAGTGTGGAAAGAGATACAGTAGGAGTCACCATCTTCAAAGGCATCAAAGAACCCACACAGGGGAGAAACCTTTTGAATGTTCAGAGTGTGGAAAAAGATTCAGTCGGAATTTCAGTCTTCAAAGCCATCTAAGAACCCACAGAGGGAAGAAACCTTCTGAATGCTAAGAGTGTGGAAACAGATTCAGTCAGAGGGGCGATCTTCAAAAGCATCAAAGAAACCACACGGGAGAAACCTTTTGAATGGGCAGAGCCGGGGCCCAGCAGAGTGAAAGAAGGCCACGTGCCTCTCTTTGCTTCCAAGGCCACGTGCCTCCATTCTCGCCACCCTAACAAGGCAAAATTCCCAAAGGAAATGGAAAGGTAGAGACAAAGGAAATCTTCCAGGGTAGAAGCTTTCACAGGTCAAACCTCATGTGGTCAGGCAGAAATGAGAACAAAGATCGATCAGGTCTGATGGTATCTCTGCATCTACATGGCCCTTTTTGGCAACCCCCCTCTCACCTTCTGAACCAGAGACATGGGCTGATGGGTCTCCTTTCTCATTCCTCTCTGAGAAAGTGAGCTTTAATTAATGAGAGTTTAAACCCTGGAAAAGGTGGGTGGTCTTGAAGGAGCTTATATTCTGCTCTGCTTCTACAGACTAACACGGCAACCCTCCACAGAGGTGGAGAGCTTGCCTTGCAATTCCAGTCTTCAGAATTCAAGAGAATAGCTCCAGTAATGGAGGAAAAGCCTCAATCAAACCCACGTGCCTTTGGATGACAATACAAAAAGGTTTTGGAAAGACGGTTCTAACTGGAATGGTCATGTCTTGGAAGAATCCCTGCAATAAAAATGAATGTATTGCCAAAATAAACTTCCTGTTTCCGATGATACCGATCAATATACGAAGACTTTGATGGACTGGCAGAAACAAATAAATACATTTCCATGGAACAGGGAAAACCCAAGAATGACATTTAAAGTATTACAAGATGAGAAAAGAGAGGAGGCTCAGCAGTAGCTAACATTAGACTGTACCAGCAAGCAGCCGGTTTGGTTTGGATTGCAGATTGGATCAAAAATCCCAATGGTCAATTAATAAAACTACAAGGCTTCCGGTATGGCGTGACGACGGGCGCGTTACAGCAAGCGCTGAAGCGCCCGACCCCGTTTGTCTTCTTTCGGGGTTCCCGGTCACCGGGAATTCTCGACCAGCGGGCCTGGCGTGGCCTGCTGGAGCAAGGGGCTTCAATTTCTGCCTCCCCCACAATCGGCAATGCGGGGGGTGTCCAGGAACCGCCCTGAAGCAGGGACCTTCGGTGGAGCAAACATGGCTGCCATGGTTTTGCAGAGTTGCAGCCGCCCGGATTTTTAACTTTGCACAGGGAGAAAAGTGAACTATCACGGTAGCAATGTAAAGATTTAAAGGATGTGTTGACTGAACCATGGAAATGGACATGAGGGAAGAATTACAAACAACGGGGAAAAAACGGTAATAAACCTCCAAATTGCGGCGTCCAAAACAGGGAAAGAAAGCGGCCGGGGGAAGGAAAGGATTGAGTTATAAATAACTACTTGTGAGGAGGGAAGAAAAGCGGCGTTGAAACTCTGTATACTGTTGGCTTGTCTGAGTTTTGAATGATTTGTAAGGAAAACATATTGGGTTTTGTGTGGAGTTTGAAAGAGATGGAGCAGACTGAAAGAAGGGGGGAGGAACAAAAGGTAGAACTTGAGAGTGGCGAGACAGAAATGGAGAAATTTATCAGAGAGATAAGAGAAGCGGTGTGGAGAGGATGCCAGGAAACATGTATGGAAATAAGAAAAGAATATGACTTGCAGGTGGAAACAGACAGAGCGGAAAAGCAGGAATTAATTACAGTGAAAGAGACCCATGAGGAGGAGGATATGATAGAGAATTCGGACAGTGTTAAGGAAGGAAAATCGGAGAAGGAGGGAGAGCCGATAAAAGTTGAAATGGAACTTAAAGTGAAACATCTAGGACTTAAAATGATCTCTTTAAAAGAAAAAAATCAATGTTTAAAGACTGAGCGAGGGAGAAATAAAAAGACTCGAAAGGATAAGCGATGGTTAAGGAATTTCAAAAGGATCAACAGATTCAGGACTGTAGCAGGAGTGAAAGGCAGAAGAAAGAGCTATGGAAGACAAAGAGTGTTAAAGGAAAGAGGGCATGGAGACATGTTGAGAAAAAAAAAAGAAACTGCAAATGTCTAAGAGAAAAAGAAAGCGTTTTGGAAAAGCAAACTTGATGCGGTCCCCCTCTGTATGGATAAATTTGGAAGACTGACAAGTTAGCTACTGGATTTTGATTGGAAGACTTGATGGTGATATTTAAAATTATGTATTAAGATGACTGACGTGGAATGTGATGGGGTTTTTTTTATTGATACCTGTATCTAACCTATTTACTAATGAAATTGAGGGGAAACTGAGAGGAACTATTAGGGGAAGTTAGAATTGATTTTAAGGGGAGATTTAAGATAAGGAGAATTAATAAGATTGGGAAAATAATTAAGGGGACTGACATAGTTGATTGGGGGAAAACTAATAGGATGGGATCTGATTGTGACTTGGTATACTTTGGGATGGAAGTGTGTTATTATTTTTATGGTTAAATGACTTGAAATTACAGGATTATGAAATGATATTGGGATATTTATATTTGTATTAATAGTGATGTATTTATGAATCTGACTTGAAACTTTTGGGGGAAGATGTTAATATAAAATCTATGATTGATTGATTAAGATAGAAAGGGTTTGTAATTAATAATAAGGAATAAGGAATGTGTAGCCGGCTGGGGGGTAATGTATAATCATGAGAGTAGAATTTGATTAGAAGTAAGTGCGCTATTGGATAATTGAAATATTACGTTGGTACTTATATTTGTATGTATATTTCTATTGATTGATTTATTTATGAATTAGACTGGGAATCTTTAGGGCGAAAACGTTAATGTAAATCAGGTGATTGAGTAATTAAATGAATATAAAGGGTTTGATTAGAAGTAATTCTGCCATCTGATAGAAGGAAAAATTGATGTAAACAGGTTATTTGTTATTTATAGTAAGGTACTTGAGTAGGTCAGTCGGAAGGAGATCTAAGGTTTGGAAATTATAAATGGATATTGTTGAGGAATCCAAGGGGAGAGAAAGGTGGGGAAAAGAAACTAAAAAGTGTTAAACAAAATATTAAGAAAATATAAAAATTTCAAGTGGTAATCTAATGGGTATAAAAGAGAAAAGAAATAATTATGAACCTAAACCCCTATACTGATCACACAGAAACGACAAGAAAGAAAGGGTAAGGAGAGGAGCTAGAACCTGATAGAGCTGGGGATAAGAACTGTAAACATGAATTGACACTTATTTAACCTCAAAAAGCTATAGGAATATAGAGGTTTAGTCAACGCAGGTTGGGTTTTGTCTTGACTTGGTTTTGATTTGAATATTGAAAATAAGGAAAGTCAGATAGTGAAGGAAGATGGTAATATCAATTAGTGTTGTAGAAAATAAGTGTGATACAAGGTTTGGAATTATATGTAAACTTGTTGATGTCGTTTATGTGCACAATATAGGCTTATAAAATCTAATAAAATAATTTTTAAAAATTAATAAAACTACAAGCAGCAGATCTGGATGACAGATTGCACCTTGCATACAAAATTCTGGCTGTAGTAACAACATAGACCAGGGGTGGCGAACAAGTTCGACAAAAAGAGCCAAAATTTTAAACTGTGAGAGTCAGAGAGCCACACCACGCAGTGGAACTCCCCACACCCCGACCTACCGGCCGACGCCAGCGCCGAAGACCGGGAGAGGGAGGCAGCGCCCCAACGCCGAACCTCCCCAGAAGACGCCCGGCTGCACGAGACGACCGCAGGACGCGCTCGGGCGCGGGGGCGAGAGCCCCGGCCCGAGATGCGTGACAGAAGCTGCGACAGGGGAGCAGGGCCGGCGGCGCGGCCTCAACGGCGACCGGATGACAGGGAGCGCGTG